GCGTGTAGAAACTGTAGCCTCCTTAGTCTGGGAGTTTGGCAATTTCAGTTTCAGTTCCTGAAAGTGATGGCGAAGATCCACAGGTGAAGAAGCTTGGAACTGACGACCTTGAAAGGAGAAAGAGAGCTTGAAAGGGAAACTCCATCTGTATTTGATGTCAGCTGATTGTAGAATCTGAAGGTAGGGTCTCAGGGTACGACGTTTTGCAATCGTAACTGAAGACAAATCCGCAAACAACTGAATGGAGTTACCCTGAAATTCCAAAGCCGGACGATTCCTAGCCGCCTGTAGTAGACGCTCTTTGGTGCGGTAAAAGTGGAATTTAATGATAATGTCCCTGGGAGGGCCCTCCTTGGGTTTAGGAGCTAAAACTCTGTGGATACCCACAGTTGCTCCAAGGGGATCTCAGGAGCCATTTCCTGGAATAGCGCGGTAGCGTGCCCTGTAGATCAGTAATTACCTCAGGAACCCCACGGATGTGGAGGTTGTCCCTGCAAGCTCTATTCTCAACATCTTCCAAATTATCTTTTAAAGTGTCCAGCTCAGAATGCAGATCTTCCACCCTCCAAGACTGTAGTCGCTAGATACATACGCTGTTCTAGTTGATGGGCACGGTGACCCAATTCTTTTAGGCCTCTTAAAAGATCAGAAGACAATTTATGAGAGGCAACTGTAATCTCCTCTCGCACTATGGCGCGGAATTTGTGTAGCAAGGCTTCAGGGTTTTGTTCAAGGGGGCCGGTCAGTCCCGAGGGAATTGCTGCTGACTATCGCCATCTGACTCCGGATCCCCTGTAAGCTGCATGATGTCATCATGCTCTGGAGGGCTGGGCGTTATCTTGCCAGTGTGGCTATGCGGAGGAGATTGCTGCTGGGCCCAGTGTTTGGGTTTGGTGCGTGGGGTACGATGCATTTTTAGGTGAAGCCCAGGTATTTCACAAGCACCTTCAACCGGTTGTAATGATACACAGGGCTTAGAGGCCCAATATACCGAGGTAGATGTTCCGGTGGCGCCGCGCAGGGAGATGAAATGGCCATCTTCCCTGGCTACGCGTGCATGCCCCCCAACATGGTTGCTTTTACATAAGATCCATCACTGCGGAACACTTCTTGCGTCCCGCCATTAAATTGTAGAAAACATTATCACCATGGAGGGGGAGGGGTAAATATAGGCTGAAATTGTAACTGTACCTTCCCTAGGGTGATGAAGTCCCAGGCAGAGGCGGCGTAAGCCCCAGGATCCCAGCAACAGGTGGGGCGCGAGGGTCCACGACTGCCAGGCCAGGCGGGCTGTAGTGACAGAGACCCGCAAGAGGGGACACAGGAGCCTCTGGGTCACCCCCTATGGAAAGGGAGCAGATGGGATAGGCCTCTAGGCCTGCCGGGGGCCGCACATCCACTATGGTGGGCCTCCAGGCCCTGTTTATAAGTGTCTCAGCCTGGTGTGACCCCTGGAGCCGATAGAGAGGCCAGGGAGCCACATACAAACCGTCTCAGCAGAAGGTCCAGCAGCAGGGGGCAGGGGGGTGGAGCGGTGACGTCCCGATCCGGCCGCAATTGCAGGAAAGACCGCGGCTTTGCAGGCTGCGGTAGGCCACAAAATCCCGGAGCTCCGGAGGTGGGACAAAAATGCCCAGCACCCCTCCTCAGGTGTCAGACAGGGGCTGCAGGGTGTCCAATGCCTCGTTATTGCCCGCTGCTGCCTGGTTGGCAGCGGATTAAGCTATAGGGCGCCGGAGCTCCTAACTATGCAGCTGCTATGGTCGCCATCTTGGACACTCCTCCTATCTGCATTTTCTGTGTTGGTTGTATATATAGGGTTATATATTGGTTGTAATACCACCAGTAGGTACTTTTCCTTTCATTCATCCACTCGTCCTCCATTTGTAGAGTGTCTATCATTGCAGAAAACAATAGTAGTTATTATTATTGTTATACAAGATTTATATAGTACCAACAGGGGCGGACTGCCATTTGGAAACTCGGGCACTGCCCGAGGGCCCGGGGTCAGTAGGGGGCCCCATGAGATGCCCCTGGTACCTTTTTCATAGGCTTTTTTGAGTTTGGGCAAGGACACAGGGGCCCCATGATCCCCTATTGCCCGTGGGACCCATGAGTTGTCAGCCCGCCCCTGAGTAACAACAGTATATGGAGCGCTTTACAACATAAGGGCAGACAGTACAATTACCCATGCAGCATCAGAAGATCACAGCTGCATGGGTATTCGTGGGGGGGCAAAGGAATGAAGATTTATAGCATAGCAGCCACCAGCGACACTTTTCGTTCAAAGTGAGTAACCTCCCTTGTCCTGATTTAAAAATATATATGTTTAACTAAACTACAGCTTTAATAAACAGTGAGCAACTTGTATGTGAGTTGGAAGTTAGTGACAATAATACTTGGCATTTGTGTCTTTCTTGTTTCAAGGAGGACAAATTTTAACTTACTTGGAATTAACAATGAGGTATAACGGAAAAAATTATTGGAAAAGTATTTCATACATGATGTTAAAAGAAAGCAAAGACACCTTTAATTTAATTTTTTTTTTGTACAGGTGCTATATTCATTTACACAAAGGGTAAAACACTAACCAAAGCTATGTGCTTAAACTAGGAGTAAGCTCACCTTTTTGTGAGTTTAGGTAAACAGTGGAGGCAATCTTGGCTGATTAAGCAGATGTATCAGTGCTGTAAAAATATTAAAGCTAGCATTATGCCAAAATAGTTCTGCAGACTTGCACAAATATTAAATGAACAACTTTCAGACTGGGTGGTCCAATTGCCTCACTGCACAGTTTTTTGTATGATTTGAGCTGTTGTGGTCAAAAATGAAAAAAAAAAGTTATTTATTTAATATTAGGGGTTTTATTTTATTTGAACTGCTGGCTCTTGCAGATGTTGAATAGAAATTTTTGGATTGCAGTAACACAGATGTATATAAATCTATTTAAAGCCAAAAAAATTGTGGAACGATTGCAATTGGATAGGATTCCAGGTGTGAGAAATGAGGCAACATTGCACTGCTAGGAGTCATTACACACTTGAACTATATAGAGTGCAGTACTATTTAAAGATGAATTCTACAAGAGTGAATCATGTGGAAATCAGTGTTAATTTCATCAACGAAAATATTTTCCTCGACTAAATTAACAGTATTTTAGTTGACTAAAATACGACTAAAATTCAAAACAATTCAGATGATAAAAATATGGCTAAAACTAAAACTGCATTTTAGTCAAAAGAATAAAACTTGACTAAATCTAAAATGGTATTTTAGTCAAAAGACTATGACTAAAACTAATTTGAAATTTGATGTCATAATTAACACTGTACTACCACATAGGAATAAGTAGGAGGAATCCAGTAAGCTGCTAAAAAGAAAAAATTAAGAAAAAAGCTTTTCTTATTTTTTTCCTCAATATTTATTGGTGGCAATACATTCAGATAATATGTGTAATGTAATTTCAGTCAATAGAGTTTACAGTTTTTTTCCTTTTTTTTATATTTTAAAAGTTGCACTTCTGTTTGTCATAAAGCAATAATTTTGTTTTGTTTATGATTGAAACTTGTGTCTATAGTGCATGTTCAAACCTTGAAGTGGTTGTAAAGGCTGAAGGTTTTTTGCATTCTATGCATGACGGTAAACAACCTTCTGTGTGCAGCAGTGCCCCAGCCATTTCAATCTTTACCTGAGCCTCACTGCGATCCAGCGATGTGAATGACAGCCTTGGCAGTCCCTGGTCTCTGCCTCCTCACTGGCTGAGTTAGCAAGCGAGAGCCATTGGCTCCCACTGCTGTCAATCACAGCCAGTCAGCCAATGACGAGGGAGAGGGGCTAGGGCCAAGCCATGGCTCCATGTGTGGATGGACACGTTATTCCCCCCCCCCAAAAAAAAAAAAATTAACCTTTAGAATCACTTTAATATAAAGTAGTATAAAATTAGTTTGTCAATTCTAGAGAAATGCTTAAATAATGCATTACAATTTAACTAACCCCATTAGATTTTAGTCATCTAAAATGTACTGGAGATTTTAGTCGACTAACATACAACTAACACTAAAACAATTAAGGCTAAAATATGACTGAAACTAAAATGGCATTTTAGTCAAAAGACTGACTGAAATTAAATTGAAATTTGATCTAAAAATTGACACTGGTGGAAAGCTTCAGCCTTAAAGGTTTGGTTGAGGGAACTTTCTTAAATTTCTTAAACTATGGGTGAGACCCTAGACTGGGTCATGGGCATGTTTGTGATGGGTTACCACTTCATTGTGTAGTTAAAATAAGTCCATCAGTGGTGAGTGATATAGAACACTGACCATGACTGACAGCACAGACACATATTGCAAACTATTTAGTACAAGTATTGTACTTACTGTATATAGTGTTGTCAATTTACACCATGTTTTACAATTACCGTATTTTTCGCTCCATAAGACGCACTTTTTTCCCCCCAAAAAAGGGGGGGAAATGTTAGTGCGTCTTATGGAGCGAATATAAAGCGGCCGGTCCGGTATTTCTGCCGCCACCATGTCAGAATACCGGGCCGGCCAATCAGCTGTTCTCTCTTACAGGGCCTTACCTGTTCCTCGCTCCAGCACTGCACAGTCTTCCCGCGCTGGCTTCTGTGACAGCCGGGTGCCCACTGCGCATGCGCTTCGCTTTGTGAATGGTCCGGTGTCTTCTGGGACACATGACAGGTCCCAGAAGGCGCCGGGCCATTCACAAAGCGCAGCGCTTCTCGCACATGCGCAATGGGCACCCGGCTGTCACAGAAGCCGGCGCGGGAAGAAGAGAGAAGGACAACGCCGGGGAAGTGGGAGCGGGTACCTGTTAAATTCAGGTACCCGCTCCCCCTCCCTCCCCAAAGGTCTGCAGTATCTGGTAATCTCCTTTACTGTCTGCAGTCTGATTATTCCCTGCCCTGTCTGCAGTCTCTGGTCATCTGTACTGTGTCCCTGGTATTTTCCCTGTACTATGTCCGCAGTCTCTGGTCATCCCCTGTACTGTGTCCGCAGTCTCTGGTCATCTCCTGTACTATGTCCGCAGTCTCTGGTCATCTCCTGTACTATGTCCGCAGTCTCTGGTCATCTCCTGTACTGTGTCCGCAGTCTCTGGTCATCTCCTGTAGTATGTCCGCAGTCTCTGGTCATCTCCTGTACTGTGTCCGCAGTCTCTGGTCATCTCCTGTACTGTGTCTGCAGTCTCTGGTCATCTCCTGTACTGTGTCCGCAGTCTCTGGTCATATCCTGTAGTATGTCCGCAGTCTCTGGTCATCCCCTGTACTGTGTCCGCAGTCTCTGGTCATCTCCTGTACTGTGTCCTCAGTCAGTCTCTCCTGTACTGTGGTCTCTGGTTATCTCCTGTACTGTTTCCGCAGTCTCTGGTCATCTCCTGTACTGTGTCCGCAGTCTCTGGCCATATCCTGTACTATGTCCGCAGTCTCTGGCCATATCCTGTACTATGTCCGCAGTCTCTGGTCATCTCCTGTACTGTGTCCGCAGTCTCTGGCCATCTCCTGTACTATATCCGCAGTCTCTGGTCATCCCCTGTACTGTGTCCTCAGTCTCTGGTCATCTCCTGTACTGTGTCCGCAGTCTCTGGTCATCTCCTGTACTATGTCCGCAGTCCATTGGTTCAGAATTTTTTTTTCCTGTTTTTCACCTCTAAAACCTAGGTGCGTCTTATGGATCGAAAAATACGGTATATTGTACATTCACATCAGTTCCTGCCCCCAAGAAACTTACAGTTAAGGTCCCTGTAAGGAAATATGTCTTATTAACTGGCATCCATTTCTAGATGTGTGAACAGTTAGTTTCGATTTGTAACTTCTCTCTCGTTTCCTTAGACTAGTTTAATTTCTCTAAAAGGAACTACCTTATATGGTATCCCTCAACTATTTGCAGTTTCTGTTCTTCACGTACATATTGATAAGAATGGAATGTTTCATTGGTCATCCTGAGATTAAGCAACGCCTACTGAGTTCTGTATAACCGTTCTTGTCATGCATTAAACTTTCAGAGATTTAGCTTGCACACTTCGGTGTCAGAGCTTTATTTCTCCCAGGTCTGAGGGTGAAAATAACGAGGACAAGGTGGCTACAGACATAGGTTGGATCCTTGCAGTTCCTAACTCACATTCATACATACACATGCTAGGGCCATTTAAAATATCAGCATATATAAATAGGCACAGCGCTTGAAAAAGATTGAATAAATGTAAAACAGTGTCACCACACAATATAAATATCGAACATATGAAATGACAAAAGTATAAGTAATACACAATGATATGTCCCAAAAGTAGGGAACTAAACCAAATAATAGTCCCAAAAATGTGATGTGATCAATTGAAGAATAGATATTAGTGACTTCTGTGACTTCCGTGTTATTCCTCCACCATTATGCACTCACCAGAAGCAAGTAGCAAACCAGCATAGAACGGACTACCACTTAAGGGCAAATCTGCTCAATTCCCATCTTCAGTCAGTGGTCTATCCAAGGGTGGGGTCCCTCCTAAAGTGGAAGCTCATAAACCACGCCTGGAGACAGCATATTATAGTGTGGTATTTTTATTAAAAGTTAGCAACCACGTGGAGCTATCTGACAAACATTAAAGTAAAAATCACTCACAAAGATGGCCGCCGGGCCATCACATGGATGTGGCGGTGTGATGTCAGCATGTAGGCTCCTCTCTGACGTGTTTCGTGCATATGCACGTTCTCAAAGGGATCTGCCCAGTCTGGGCAGATCCCTTTGAGAACATGCGTGTGCACAAAACGCGTCAGTGGGGATCCTACATGCTGATGTCAATACAATACCTGGAAGAAACCCACACAGGCATAGAGAGATCATACAAACTCTATGCAGCTAGTGCCAAGGTTGGGATTGAAACTAAGTACCCTAGTGCTGCTGGGCAGAAGTGCTAACTACTTAGCCACTGCACTGCCCAGAGTTCATTTGAGTTCCACTTTTCTACCTAAAATGTGTAAGTATGAGCATTTAATTTGGAATGTATATGTAATAAGTTTACTATATGTGTGTTTCTTTTTTATCATCTATATCCATGGTTGTATACCTGCACTTGTATGACTTTGGGTCCCAGTACGGTGACAATTTTCGTACTTGGATCATTGAATTAATAAATTGAAGAACTCCTGCTTGAGATGTTGGTAAATTTACAATAGACATCTGTAGGTCTTGTACTCTATACAAGGAGACCAAAAATGTTCAGTTCAGAGTAAAAGATACCGAGGTAGGTGAAATAATCAGGAAGGGGTTACATTTTCAAACCAAATCTACCCCAAAATTACATATGTCATCTTTGATTATTATTCATTAGTTACCAATTAACTTTGCCAAGCACCCATAATTACTGTTGATACCTTTTCTTTCCATTAACAATTTCATTATATGGACCTGGCAGCTCAGGGGGAGGGGAGTTTACACACAATAATGGTGGCTGCAGCCACCAGGATTGTGTATAAATCTGGCAACACCCAGTAATGACGCCCCCCGGGCTTCCCTTGCCCATCTGTGGACCCAGGACGAGCATAGTGCCACCAGGCAGGGGGGAGTAAGCTGAGTGGACACATCTGCTCTCCTCCCCTTCTTGTCGGTGACCTGGAAGCAACATGTTTGATGTCACTTCTGGGTCCCCCTCTCATCGCATTACATTCAGTGGAGCTCAGGGAAGACATCCAGGATCTTTTTGACCCTGGATGTCTCTTTAAAGAGAACCTGTCACCAAAAAATCATCACTTGTATGATGAAAAAAAAGTTAAGTAAAAAAAAAATTTTTTTATAAAATCTGAAGTTTGTCACTATTTCGCAGGCGCACACAAATTTAAAGTTTGTCATGTTGGGTATGTATTTACTTGGCGTAACCTCATCTTTTATAATTTACAAAAAAAAAAGTGTTACATTTGTGTGCCCTAAAATTAACTTTAATGTATTTTTTACTGACATTTTGTGTTTCTTAAACACACTAAGAACAATTTCTTGAAAAATATATTACAGGGTCACTTTGTAGTGGATGCATATGAATTATTTTTGGAGAAACTAAGGAGATTGTTTTTAGTGTAACTTTAACTGCTTCCCACCCACTGTACATATATAAAGTTCCTCAACGGAAAGCTGTGCTGCACATAAAAAATTCAGAATATAGGACATTTTATATTTTTTTTCAGTCTTGCAATCCCAGCTTATTATCAAATGCTTATTACAACAACTGGCCTTTGTATGGACTCCTCAAATGACCCAATAAATTGTATTGATGTGATGTTGATAATGATGATTATGTTTCTAATTTTATTTTACTAATGGGTCACTTTTGGATTAGTGGTATAAACTAATACAAAAGTGACCCATTATGAAATAAAATTAGAAGCATAATCATCATTATCAACATCTCATCAATACAATCAATTTAGCTTTCATCCAAGGAAGACAAATTTGTGAAGTAAATAAGATTTATAGTATTAATCATACATAAGTGTCATCATATAACACACAAGTATTGGGCTACATTTTTCAGACATAGCAATCATAAAAGGATAATATGATATAAGAAAAAAAAGACCAGAATATTATTCATGCATGTCTCATTGTGGTTCAGGTGGATAAATCAAGAACATGTCTAGGCAGATGCTGATTAGAATATTCTGAAAAGACATTACACCTAGGCTGAGGGAAAGAATGTTTGAGTTTTACACAACTTAGAACAATGGTGTGTATTGTTTCCTTACTTGCTGCTAGCTAGAATCTTATGTGCTTTTCCTAGTTCCCACACTAAAGAATACTTTTTATACCAGCCAATATATATAATATACATAATACTGGTTTCCTTCAGTGGCAGCAGACTTTGTACAGTTATGTTGTAAGGAAAAGAAAAAAATGATTAAGGACTGGTAATAAATCTATTAAAAAAGGATTAGTAATACATGCCAGCAAGTTATTTTGTTTGCCTATTTTTCATTACTCTTTGGCTTTACTGGCTGTTTATTAGTAGAGTATTTCACTGGAGGTAGAAGAACTAACCCTCCCGCCCTCAGCACAAGTTTCACCTCAGGAGAAGCAACAGTGGTTGTTCAAAAATATTCAACCTGAAACACTGTTTTCCTCAAGATCAGTCTACTATATTCTCATGCTTCCTGTATGCATGAGGATCAGTGCTTGAAGTAGTTACAGAAATTTGACTTGGCAAAGATATTTTCTTGTCTTTGTACCTTATCATGATTAATTAATAACTGCAAACTTCCTTCATTGTAGTTCCTCACTCCATCCTGGTAATCATGTTTGTTAAGGATTGCATCCTCAATCCACTTTTTCTTTTAAGACGGCCATAGACGGTTTAAATCTTGGCCGGTTCAGAAGGAGATTCGAACCATGTATGGGCTGGCTAAATGTACCCAAGTTGATCAATTGAGCTTTCACTAATTACTGACCCTATTGCTTCTATTGGCATATATGCCATTTAGTCTCAGTGTTTGAGAAAGGGGGATAAAAAAACACAGTGCAACTTCAATATTCACTGCTAGAGACAGGCAAAGTATGTGTTTAATCATCGATGGGCAAACTCAATCATTGCAGCAAGGAATGTTGCTATTGTTTCCTACTAATCAATCAATCAATCATGTTGAATAGAAAGGACTTTAATAGACTTACAGGATCTCTAGCAATGCTAATTGATTTTCTGGGAGATTCATTCACCCTCCAACTGGAAGTTGACTTACCAGGTATGCAGTAGTGGTTAACAGAATGCTTCAGTTTGCCCTGGCGAACAGGTAAGTGTGCCTTGTGTATTCTTTACCCATTCATCACAATGCATTGTATGTACAAATTCCCCATTTGTGGAATGTCTCCCTCACATTAAAGGACTCTGTCTATGGTTAATGTTTTATTCTGCATCATACAGCTTTCTTCATGCACTCCAACAACTGCCGCACTTCATTCCTCAGTATGAATTTCCTGATAGTGACACAGGTGGACCATGCCTGCACAATTTGTTAGCATGGCCACTTGTTGACTCCACTGGTATAGCTTGTGAAAGGGTAGAAGCATAAGGAAACAACTGGGAGAGAGGGACAGAGCACTGTATCCTATAACAGAAACTGCCTGAGCAAGGATAGCAAGACCCCACGTATTATTTTAATGAACACTGAGGATTTTAAAATATTGAAAACTATTTGAAATTAAAGTGTTTGTAAATGCTCATAAAAAAAAAACCAAACGATTTCTACTTACCTGCTTTGTGCAATACATTTGCACAGAGCGACCTCAAACCTCCTCTTCCCTGCTGGCGCTCCTGGCTCCTCCCTATAGTAAGCTGATTATTTTGGGGGGCACTCACGTAAGCTCATGCTTGAGCCTTGCTGCCTGTGTCTATTGACACAGACAATAGGACTTGGCCCCACCCTGTTCCTTCATCACTGGCTGTGATTGACAATAGAGGGAGCCAATGGCTCCTGCTGCCTCAACAAAGCCCGAGAGACCAAGAAGTGAGGGTAGAGAACAGCTGCAGACGTGCACAGCGCTGGTTCGAATGAGCGCTTAGATAAGTAAAAGCGGGGGGCGGGTGGTGGGGGTGAGGGAGAAATACTGATGCCTAAACAT